GGAGGGTAGGGATGGACGGGAGGAAATTGTGATCGAGAGTCGAGTCAGGTGTGGAGTCGTTCGCCCACATGAATATATTGGCTAACGATATGTTGAGGGAAGGCGTTAAGAAATACTCAGGTAGTATCTGAAACTGCTAGATACTAGGTCGACCAAGGAGACCAAGATGATGACCATTCCATTAACAAATATATTCTTCTCAGATTGGCCAACCTACCCGCAACTGTATGTCGATGGCGAATTCGTCGGTGGTTGTGATATTGTTCTTCAAATGGCCGAAGATGGTGAGTAGCTTTCGAATAACTCAATCCGATTCAACTCCACCCGTCCCTCTCCTTAGGTGAGCTCCATGACCTCCTCCTTGAGAAGGGCGTCATAAGCGCCTAATAAAGCACCACTGCTGCTGTTCCTCTTCCATATACTCTGTAGTTGTGTTGAGCGAGACCAGTTGCTGTCTCCTTTCCAGTCATTGTGGCCTCTATCCTTGCTAGTCGACACTCTCCCCGCCGTCGATCGCTATTGTGACTCTCTATGTGTCATTAGTGATCTTGCTGCTGGCGGTGACTCTATGAGAGCAAACACCTTGCTCTCCCTTGGAGGATATTCCAGCAGAATCGTCCAACTTGTCCACTATGACATGTGAGATATAATGAGGAACATATTTTTCCCTAATATTCGAAAAATCGCGAATTCGGAAAATCACAGTTTCTCGGCAAGGATTTGTTAGATTTGCTGGCCAACGAGAGGAAGCTAGCGCCTAGTGTGTAACCTAGAAAATGCTTGCCGGGAGTCTTGTCACATAGTTCGCGGTTTACTCTTAGCATCACAGGGAGTTTAGCATCCCAGCAGTAGTCTTAGGAGTCTTAGCATCCCATAGCAATCGCAGGGAGTTCACGATCTTCCCACATGTGGGACCAGTGTAAGTAGCCGAAGGTAATCGATGGCTTTCCATTCTAGCATCTATCACCGGTCGGCATGCCGTTGGTTTATCCGGCGAGGGTAAAGGGAACACTAGTAAGCCATCAACCATCATAGGCTATCCCATCCCAGTTCCTTCTCCCTGTCGTCTCTTCGTGTTGCGCTCCACCGGGGGTTCCTTAAATAGTTGGAAACATTGGCTTCGTACTCAACAGTTCCAGAGTCAGATGAATGAGAAGAATGCCTTTCCCTGGCCCACTTACGCTACCGTCTGGCCTGCGCAGCAAAGTTCCTTGCGCACGTTACTACGTGGTCCAGAATAGACCAGTTGGGCGGGCGGATTCGACGAGCGATCTCGCCCAGAAATCAGCGGATGTCGGGTTCTGGTTGTTGAGCTTGACAAGTTAGCGCTTTTCCGTATGAACTAGATTGTATATTGGAAATGACCGATTTGGTCAGACCAAATCGCCAGAGTTAGTGAGTTGGTGGGACCTGGTGCTACGCCCTAGTCGTTCTCCTTAGTCGACAGGCCGCATGCTGTGAGCATCCTGGAGAGACAAGGGAACGACTGACCCTCCCTGAGTGCTGTTGCATGCAAGAATGGTTTGGGGGCGGAGCTCATGTCTTGAGCTCGCGAGGTTTGTTGAATGGTCTCTAATCCCTCCGTATGGGAGGCGTCCCTCCAAGCATGCTATGACCATCGTCTACGGTTACACAACTTGTGGCGGGCGGCAGTCGGGGCTGCTACTGAGGATGTCATTGAGGCTGTCCAGCAAAGTACAGTACGCGCCATCTAGAAACGCGCAAACTGGGCGGGCACTTTTTTCTTTCATTTTGACGAGTTTCGACCTAATTCTTTCACCATTGAGCTCCCCATGCCTGATTACCCATAAATCCAAGTCGCGCATTGGAAACTCGACAAAAAAATATTTTGGTCATTTTTACCTCCCTGACCCTAGCGCATTCTCATTCGGCGCGCTCCTAGCGTCCTGGGGGACGCTTATCGAATCACTCCGGCCCTCCACACCTAGCTACGGTAACAATTCAATTTGACACCTGAATTCAATTTCATCGAATGGCCATCCTAGAGCAGCTGCCAAGTCTCGAAGAGATGCAGTGAGGCCGTCAAGACTCTCTGTGAGGGGAGGCTTGGGTGTGTCTTCTTGACCGATCAGAGCCCAATACACTGCAAGTATCCGGAGGATGGTCTCAACGCCAAAGCTATGAACGTCAAGCCTGGAGGGAAGCAGCCTCGAATGCGCGCAGGTTGGTATGAACGCGATGGCCGACGCGTTGTCCAGGAAATGGTCTTTCCGGTGGACCATCCTCGATACGCTGGCTTACCCAAAGGACTCCGGCAGGTGGTACTGGAGAGGTTTGGGGAAGCGGTAGTAGTGGGCAAGAAGCAGGACGAGCTGGTCATCCTACTCTCTAATTGTGATGATTTCGCTTCCCAGAAAACTCTGCTCCAGGAAGAAGCTGAGGCCCGCGGTGATCGGGTCATATGTGGTGTGAAATTTTACCCAGAGTTGGCACCAATAGAGGCAGCTTACCGCTCCATCGCTAAGGCCATTAGGATTGGGAACTCCTCCAAATCATCAGGAGGGTTCGTCCAAAGAGTAGAGCGCTGTCAGGAGCCTGCCGACCTGACGTTGCTGCTTATTCGCAAGCACTTCAGGTCATCCAGGGAGTATCTCAAGTCTTACATGGAGTGAAAGAGCTTGGAGGAGATAAAGCGACTAAGAAAGGAACGTCGAAAGCATCGAGGGCCAGCGCCAATGTTGCCTGCTCCTACAGGGCAGTCCAACGTTGGCAAGTTTAACCGGAGACGTGTAGTCTAATTTTTCAAGTTGTGTGTGTTTCCAATGAATTTGCTCTCCATTTCGATATTGGGTTTTGAGAACAGGTCACCAAGGAGTAGAGATTGTCCAAAACTGGCATAGACTTCTCGGCACTGAGGGTAAAAATGACCAAAATATTTTTTTGTCGAGTTTCTAATGCGCGACTTGGATTTATAGGTAATCAAGCATGGGGAGCTCAATAGTGAAAGAATTAGATCGAAATTCGTCAAAATGAAAGAAAAAAGTGCCCGCCCAGTTCGCGCGTTTCTAGATGGC